CAAATTGCCCAGAGTCAGACAGCAAATCTGTGGCAGAACTGGAATTGGAACCCAGATCTCCTGGTTCCCAATCCCATGCGTTAGCCACTAGAGATGCTGTTTCTGATATCACTGTGAGCTAACTGCATATTGTATAAATAGGCCACGGCTTCTGTAGAGAAATAATCAGAATCCTCTTAAGTGCTGATATACGGCACCTATAGATGCTCACAGAATTGCCAGTGAAGAAATCATTGTATTGTCAATTTGCAAATAAGTGAAGCATGCAGACACGCTGCTGGAATTCGTTCAGCGCCTGCTGTTTATTTTGACTGATGCCAGTTTGTAAAATGGTGTAAGCTATTTCCATTCTAGAGTCATATTCTCCACATGGGAGAAAGACTGGATAAGGAACTGTTTCCAAGTGAAACATTCTAGTCTGAGGCTTGTTAATCCCATTTTCTTCACAATAACTGGGGGCTTGCCCAATTAAAATCCATACCTGACTCTGAAACAAGAAGAGGGAGTAGCAAAAATGTACAATTTATAAATCAGGCAGATCTTAAATTCCTATTTGCACATGTGTAGAGGAATAGCTACTACTGTAATGACCCACACGTAACCTGGCCGGTATGGATGACGTTTTCTTGAAAGAGTCAATGTGCATCTCAAACTAGTGTTCCATTAACTTCTACAGTTTAACAGCCGCATGTCCAATCAAATCAATATGTTGGTGTAACTAAGCTTCCTGAGAGCCAGATTAACTCCCGGTGTAACTCTATTGACTTCAGGATAATTTCACTAGGGATGAATTTGGCCCTTTGATTTCTACAGTCAGCGGGGGAATGATTGACCCTGGGTGTGAATGACAGAATGTAGATGTCTGACTCCTTGGTTGTGCCTGTAAATCAGGTATGTCTCTTACTATCAACTGTACTTGCAGGTATTTGCAGGTGCAAAATTCTGGGTGCTACACTGAAAGCCAGGTTATGGTGCCAAATCTTCTGATTTGTCTGAGTCTTGCTTTGTGCACGATTGGATGACAGCAAAAGGAGGCAAATGATGCCTCTCAACCACCTCTGAATTCCCCTGCTTCTGTGGCTGATCTAGTCCACCTGGCCTCCCAACACAAATTAGAGAGCCTTCAGAGCTGCTGTGAATTATTCCCGGCTGCCCTTGTCCTCCGTAAACTGTTCTAGGGATTACTGGATTGTAAGTATGTCCTGGCTGTATTTCCTTTCCCCCCACCAAATGTGTCCCCACTATGCCAGGAACAGGTATGGGAGTGCAATGGCAGCCATTACAATGGTTCTTTGCCTTTGGGGAATTCCTTCAACACAGGAAAATCCCCAGAGAGCCAGGTAAGATGACGCTGGGGCCGAGGACCTGGCCTGTGACCTTTACATTTCCACATTGTTTAGAGTTGGTAAAATGGAAAACGGACCTTTTTTCATCACAAAATATCAGTCTCCAGTGGGAGATACGTGAGCTATTTGCACTGAACAACGCAGCTGGTCAGAACGTGGAATTCCATTTCCACGAGAAATTCTGATTTTTTTTCAGCACTAAATCTTGACATTTCCAGTGAAATGGGAATTCCAGAATTTCATTTTAAAAAAATCAAATTGACATTTCATTTTAGCTTTTTGAAACAAAATTGACAGGGCTCCTAGATCTGCACAGAGACCTGGCAGCCCTGCTTCCAGGCTCTCTGCTGTGCAAGCTGGGACTTGTGCTGGGGCGCTCAAAGGCTGCCAGGCAGGGAACCCAGCAGCCTTGGTAGCTCCCAGCTTGGTGGCAGCCCACCAGACAGGTTGCCAGGGAGGTGGCTGAGCTAGTGGGGAACCAGAATATTCAATGAAATGTACATGTTCCCATAGAACAATTTGATTTAATCAAATCTGTATTTTCCAATGGAATAATATTCGGTCAGAAAATTTCTGACCAGCTCTACTAAGCAACCTATTTCATCTTTAGCCCTTTGTCTTTTTCCAAATTTTCTGCAAACTTATTTCACAAATATTCATTATTATTTTATTACAATAATTGTGATAAAGCCCAGGAGCCCCAGTCGTGGAGCAGGACCCCATTGTATTAGGTTCTGTACAAACACAAAACAGAAATACAGTCACTGACCCAAAGAGTTTACACAATCTAGGTGTATGATGAGAGGTGGAGATAGACAGACAGGAGAGCACAAGGAAACAATGAGACAGTATTGGTCAGCATGATCAAAATGGTCTCAGCTGCCTAATCACTGTCAAGTTTTTCAAAGTTCTCTGAACCAAGCTCTTAGCATCAGAATTTGTCATTGCAATACCAGCTATCTTTGAGTGAATGCACAGGTCTTATGGTATGTATCTGTTCCCTAGATGGAGGCACTAAGCTCGTAGAGCCAGGTTTTAGGTGCAAATACTGGCATTTACAGTACAGCCAAGGATCTAGCCTATTAGGCCAAGACTTGCTCAGTGCAGCAAGCCTAGTAATAGGACCCATATTAGTTACAGGGAGCCCCCTTCCCTGTTTTCGATACCTAACAGACCACCTCTCTCCTAGCATTCAAATCTGGCAGCTTGGATCTAATGGGTCGTTTGAGCTGTCATTCCTTAGATGTGTTAGTCTAGGGCCTTGTGACAGACCATTCTTACTGGAGGACCTTCCACTTTGGAATTCGCTGGTCCATCAGCGCATCTGTCCATGCCAGTCCATTTGGCCATTCTGCAAGAGATGGCTTGTGAGGAGGGGCCTGAGTTGGGGTATAAGGAGTCATTTTGCTTTCATTACCTGAGATTGGCTCAGCTGATGGAGTGTGTGTGCAGATATAAGAGAGACAATGTAGGGAAGGTAATACCTTTTGTTGGGCTGTGTCATTCAAACGCGTCTTCCTCCCACCAACAGAAGTTGGTCCATAAATGATATTGCCCTACCTACCTTGTCTCTCCCTCTTCCTGGGATCAACATAGCTACAACACCACCATAAACAACTATGCAGACGTTGTTATTTACTGCACATGTAGATAAGAGGTCACGATAGGAGAATTTTTTTTTTATAAATGGTAAAAATAAGTAATGAGCTGCCCCTACAGTTGTCATAGCTAGATAGACAGACAGACAGGGCTATGGCCCACCCTGAAACCAAACCAACTGGATTGCATGGCTGATGAAGGAGCAAACCACATGGGGTCATTCTCAGTAGCTCTGTAGCCTCTTCTGCTGCTCTGGGAGCATCAAAGGTGGGAATTCTCCCTGTATAAGGAGGCTCCAGAAGAGATGCCAAAATGGCCCTACACAGGCCCCACTCATAGCCCCCAGCATTTCAGGAGTGGGGAGGGCATTAGACCAGTCAGAACCATAGCTATTCTCTGCTTTCCAGAGCCCCTAGGGAGCCATGAGAAACCAAGTGGAATTTAGAGTAACCCTTAAGCTGCTCTAACTGCTGGCAAGAACTAAATGGCACCAAAGGGCTCCAAAATGAAAGAGGTGGCTTTCCTTTCCCCCCTCACCTATTCCTGAGCTAAATTCAGGAGTGAAGGATCTCAAAATCAGAGCCTTGTTCTTCATTTGCTGCTCTTCTTGTATTATTGATTCAGAAATAACCAGGTGGTAGTTGGTATTATCATCAGTGCTACCATTAGCCTGGACTGGGTGTGTGGGTGTGGAAACAAGCTTCCTCATGGACTGAGGGAATGTGACAAATGTAGGCTCATACTTTGTTTGATGCTCCTAAAGTGCTTTCCCCAAATAGAATCACTTTCCTCTTTTAGACAATTATGCTATTTTTTCCCCTTGTGAAGATGCTCTGCTGTTTCCCCAGGTTTTCATGTCCTTGTGGGCACACCACCATGTAAACTGTTCCTCTACAAGGTAGGAGGGTTTGATATTCAAGAATGCAGCAAGTTAGTCCTGTTTAATGTGAATTCATATTTTTACAAGTTAATTTTTCAGGGAAACCCTCTGCAAATGGAGTATCTTTAACTGAATACATTTGTTAAAAGCTTTTGATCATTAAAGGGCAGTTTTGTTTTGACCAGTGACTCAAAATGACATAGTATATTTCCTGTCTCAAATAAATGTCTATCATATTTTCTGAGATTACGAATAATAGTAGCTACCAGAGCTGCAAACTCACCCTGGGATCTGAGAGTGATGCTGGATCCTTTCTGGCAAGTACATTATCAGCCTGAATAATGATGCTGTAGGTCCAAATTCTGCCCTTAGTAGCTAAAGACAGACTTTAGGGTTTGCCCATAAGTAACCAGGGACAGAATTTGACCTTGAAAGTGCAGTTTAGCTAGTAATCCTGTTGGACAATTCACACAGTCACAAATGTTCAAATAGTGAACACAAACTTTTACAGGAACTCGCCTTCAGCACACAACCCCTTGGGTCACTCCTCCAATGTGTGTGCAAGTCACGACTTATGAACACACATATTGGAAGGAGAGAGCTTGAATATATAATTTGGGTAGGCACATGTTTAACGTTTCTGTGTCTCAGTTCTCCTGTCCATAAAATGTGAATAATAATGCCTTACCCATCTCTCAGGCGTGTTGTGGAGCTTAATGGATTAATAGTTGTAGAGTGTTTTGAGATCCTTAGATGAAAGTGCAGAATATTAGTACTGAAGAGTTAAAACTGGGGCAGGTATTGAGTTCATGAAAAATCCTTTGGGACAATGGTTTGACAAACACAGTGCAGACAAATCTAAATATACCCCATAGCCTGCGAGCCTGAAGAGGATGGCTGATCTTCTCTTCATTTGCTGTTCTTCAGCATCTGTTGTTCTGTGTCTTTGTGGAACAGATTTTCCCATTCAAAAGTGGCCGCATTTTATTTTTGTTTTAACTTTGCTTGGGAATGCAGAGCAACTCAATCAAGAGGAAAATACACCATGAAAAGCACTGAAAGCCTTGAGGTCAAGGATCTGAAGTTACCCACAATATTAATGACAAACCAGCGGCTGCACCATGGCAACGGACAGAAGAATACGTGGCATGGAAGCCATAAGCAATGTGGGGCTGTGAGAGAACACAACCACGAGAAGAATGGAAATAACATGATGTTCTCTCTGTTCTGTGCTGGGACAGTTGTGTATGGGCTAATGCCTAAAGGTGGTGAATCCAGGATTTTCAAAAGGGTCCTGCAACAGAAGGAAATAGAGGTAGGAGCTGGAGTTGCACTGCCAAGAAGCTTAATTTCAAGAGGGATAATTGGAAAGGGGAGGGAGGAAGGATGCAGGGGCTTATGGCTGAATTGCTGTGGATTCTCCTCTGGGATCATTACAGGGAAAGAATGAATCACTCTGAAAAATCACAACCTGCCTGACTTGATTAGAAATATGAGCCTCCAGTCGCATCCCTTGCTAAAGCTGGGAATTAACACCAGTAAGTTTTCTAGTCTTTGGAGGGTGTCAAATTTCCTATGGAGACGAAGAGAGAGAATCACTTCCAAATCAGCCTCCAGATCATACTCTATTATTTACTTTTCTTTTTCTTTTCTTTCTTTTTTTTTTTTTTTGGTTACTGGGACATCTCTGTTGCTTTGCAGTATAAGCAATAAACAATTGCTGACAGTGCAGGCCAGATTGTCTGGCTCCTATATGGCCTACAGGGAGCAAGAGAGACAGCCTCCTCCTCCCCACCCGCCCATGCGCAGGGCTCTGGTACAACTACAGTGTCTGACGACATGGGACTAATGCCCTCTAGCCTTCTTAAAGGAGGCCGTACCTTAGCCATAGCCCAGCTATCACCTCCATGCCAGCCAGCAGATCTGGTGTTGGATGGAGATGGGGAGTGCATTGTATATGCTCTCAAAGGGTGATGCAGAATCCACTCCGACCCATGCTAGACTGGAGCTCTCAGAGGCACTTTGGATTCCAGAAGTAAAATACCTTCTGCTGCGATGTGGCTCTGTACTTCCCTCTAACTGGGGCTAAGCTTTGCAGGGACAATCGAATCCTGATGGAGCTGAGGCATTGACCCAGTGCCCTGACAGAATTTCAATGTGGGTAATTACCATTAGCCTTCCATGGAGGCTCCTGGACCAAGTCCTGCCCTGCTATACATTGTGTTCATCTCCACTGATGTCAGCACCGCTGCAAGTCGTACAAGTCAGGGCCAGGGCCGTGAGAGTCACAGAGTGATGTGGCTTCCTCTCAGGCCATCGCCAGTTAGCCAATAGCTTTCTGGTGCAAGGACTATTGATCTGCTAGGAAGTCAATGGCCCCCTAAATATTTTAGCTCACAACTGGCACGTGTCTGGCCACCAAAGGGTCTGAACTATCACCTGCCAAGTTATTTCTTAGTTTATTTATTCTAAATATATTTAGGACCTAATTTTCCAATACAGGCAGAATTTTGGGCGAGATCCTGAGCGGGAGAAAATTGGCATAGCTCCACTGCAGTCCATGCCAAGAGTTCACGGGCGCGATGCCTGTCCACAGTGGCTGGAGCTCCAGCCCAGCATGCCCAATTTGTGCATAGAAGTATGCACTGACCTATCTGGTGTCCTGCACGGATGCCCAGCTTTCTCTCCACTTTACCTGTGTGTGCACATTAGAGATGCAAGAGTGAGTGTGATTTTCTACAAGTGCATGTCTGAAATTCAGACCCTTATTTTCCTACCAAACCCAAAGCACAGGTGAGCTAGCTAGTGACTCAAAAGCGGGCCACTGTAAACTGGATCACCGAACAGCCCCAGGTTCTATTCTACCATAACATCTGTTGCCTTCACATTCACTCTGGTCACTGGCATGCAGGTGACCTCGTTATCTTTGTGAAGTGAAGTGAGGCGGAGAGGCAGGGGTTGGGGAAAGGCCTATACAGGGAGCTGTCCACAGGAGCTGATCTTTTAGAGAAACTTGATTAAACAATTGAGAGGGAAGAGCGAAAAGAAGCAAGGAAGGGGAATGGTGGGGGGGAGGGGTTGGACAGCTTGACTTTGAAGAGGAAACAAGAGCGACTCAGAAAGCAGCATGACCTTGGGAAGGACATTAGACTCTGGTGGGGGCAGGGTGGGGGAAGGGATCTACAGCTGAAACTGGAGAAGAGAGCCAACTAAATAAAGTGTGTGATCTGGATAAAGGCAAGAGCTAGGGAAGCAGCGAGCTTTATTGTAGCTTCTGACAGCAGCAAAGGATTTCTTAGCACTTGATAACACCCATAAGACCCCATTGATGGCATGAAAGCAGTAGCTCAGGAGGGTGTTGAATTTGGAAAGCAAGGGTTTTGCAAAAGTATTTGGGCACACTCAGGAGCAGTCTTTTTTGCAGCACTCTTTGATCACTGGCAAAAAGGCTGGATTAAATGGCAGAAAGGGAACAGGGAACAAGACGTTCAGCTGGGACATGCAGTTAAGAAATGTGAACATATTTCATTCCATTTTTTTCTCCATCCCATCCCTGAACAGCTACTGAACTCCCCTCGAGTGTTTTCACTCCTAGCAGCATCTGCAAGAACAGAGGGTCTAACTGTTAGTAAAACAATACAAGTCGGGGTAATTCCCTGGAGCCCCAGTGTATTGTCAGAAAGAGCAACTAGAGAGGGGAAAAACACAAAAGCACAAACCGCACTCATCGACTGATGAATGGTGGTAACACTCTCTGTTTCTGACATCAGACTCCTAGGAAAAGATCCTCAGGAATGTGGGGCCCATGGCACATGATGGACTATTTCTGGTTTGGCCCATCTTCTGTATGCAGCCTGTTCCATACTCTCCCTGCTCCTCCTGACAGGTGGAGGGCTGTGAAATGCAGCTCACCCTGCAGCACTTCTTGTTCTTGCTCTGCGAACAGACTGTGGCGTATATGAATGTGACACACATGGAGGTTCATCATATATCTTCAGGTGACAAAGTCCCAGGGTATGATCTGCTCCATTCTTTCCAGCAATGATGCAAAAATGATGCATGTGGTTGCTGGCGTGCTAAGACTCCCGCTAATGCATTCCCATCTGGGTTTACATATAGACCTGCCTCTTCGCGCTCATGCAACCTAGCTCACAGTGGGTTATATATAAGATGCATTTAAAGTCCATTGCCAACCCCTGATCTATAAAATAAAATCTGCAAAGAATAATTGTCGACTGAGAGCTACTCGTGGCTCAACCAGGGTCAGGTTCCTGGTTCCAAGTTCCGTTGAAGTCGAGCCTTCCGGGAGGCATTTTGCACCATGCAGGAATAGGATCAGAACACATGACAGAAGTTGTTAAGTGTGTTCATGCACGTAGGGCCCAAACCTAGAGCTGAATATCTTCACATCCTCTTGGCTTCCACTGGAGATAGCCATGCTCACCACCTCACAGGCAGGGTAGGCAATTCAGTACCTTTCAAGACTGAGCTCTTCTTTCATTCATTTCCAAAGGGTTCGGAACAGATAGTGTCAAAATTCACTCAGTTCTTTATACTCATCTTCCCCAGAGAGGATACCTAATGATGGAAAGTATCCCAAAATGAGGAAAGTGATGAAAAGCCAATATTGTCTCCATGGTCTATTACTGATGAGCCTCAATCCAAAACCTGGATCCAAACAAGCCTGAACTGTGGCTGGCCTGATATCTGTAATAGACTGAACCAAAACCCTGGACCAAACACCCTTGAACTTGGAGGAAATTCAGATGCAGATCCAAATTTTGCGGCTGAGTCCCATCTCTACATAACCTGCGTAGAGTCTTCCGTAGCTAGACCTGAACAAGCTGTGTAATAATGATAATAATACTGAGCAGTTGTACATATTCAAGGTGCTGCATAAACATTAACTAATTAATCCTTATAAGGTTCCTGGACGTGGTAGGTGAGTATCTTTATCCCCTCTTCTGCAGATAGTGAAACTACACAAAGAGGTGAAGTGACTTACCAAGGCCGCATAGTGATTTGCTAGCAGAGCCAAGATTTGAGCTTGGGAGTTTGATTCCCAGCTCACTGCTTGTTCCTCTAGATCAGTGATTCTTAACCTGGGATGCATGTGCCCCCTGGGGGTGCGAGAGGCCCTTTCTGGGGGTGCAAGACGTGCCAGATTTTTTTAGAAGGTAAATCATGGAAAACACAAATTAAGTACAAATTAAGTTGTAAGTACAACTACAAACAAAAATATATCTAGGTTTAAAGAACTGACCTACTTCAACGATTTTTGCTAAGGGGTGCAAGAACATAGTTTGAGAACCAAAGGGGTGCAGGCTGCAGTAAAGGTTAAGAACCACTGATCTAGCTCATGCTTTGCTTCTTTAGGGATCAGAGTAACAGCTGTGTTAGTCTGTATTCGCAAAAAGAAAAGGAGTACTTGTGGCACCTTAGAGACTAACCAATTTATTTGAGCATAAGCTTTCGTGAGCTACAGCTCACTTCATCGGATGCATACTGTGGAAAATACAGCAGATGTTTTTATACACACAAACTATGAAAAAATGGGTGTTTATCACTGCAAAAGATTTTCTCTCCCCCCCCACCCTATTCTCCTGCTGATAATAGCTTATCTAAAGTGATCACTCTCCTTACAATGTGTATGATAATCAAGGTGGGCCATTTAAAGCACAAATCCAGGGTTTAACAAGAACGTCTGAGGAGAGGGGGCGGGGCGGTAGGAAAAAAGGGGAAATAGGTTACCTTGCATAATGACTTAGCCACTCCCAGTCTCTATTCAAGCCTAAGTTAATTGTATCCAGTTTCCAAATTAATTCCAATTCAGCAGTCTCTCGCTGGAGTCTGGTTTTGAAGTTTTTCTGTTGTAATATCGCAACTTTCATTTCTGGAATCGCCTGACCAGAGAGATTGAAATGTTCTCCGACTGGTTTATGAATGTTATAATTCTTGACATCTGATTTGTGTCCATTTATTCTTTTACGTAGAGACTGTCCAGTTTGACCAATGTACATGGCAGAGGGGCATTGCTGGCACATGATGGCATATATCACATTGGTAGATGTGCAGGTGAACGAGCCTCTGATAGTGTGGCTGATGTGATTAGGCCCTATGATGGTGTCCCCTGAATAGATATGTGGGCACAGTTGGCAATGGGCTTTGTTGCAAGGATAGGTTCCTGGGTTAGTGATTCTGTTGTGTGGTATGTAGTTGCTGGTGAGTATTTGCTTCAGGTTGGGGGGCTGTCTGTAGGCAAGGACTGGCCTGTCTCCCAAGATTTGTGAGAGTGATGGGTCATCCTTTAGGATA